CGGGCCGCGCGGGCCCCCGAGGGCTGCACCTGCCCCGACCGACGCTCGTCCGCACCCCGCCCGGGGCCCGACGGGTCCCAGCGGCCCGAACACCCGCGGCGCCTTAGGCCCGTGTCACGGCGAGTCTCCCGGGGCAACTGCCACTCGGGGTTTAGGGAAGCAGCCGGCGCCCGTGAGGCACGCAGCGGCCAGACCGAGCTCTCCCGCCTCGGCCCCAAGGCTCCTCAGCAGCCCGTGGCTCCCGCTGCGCAAGGCCCGCGCGTCCCCTCGGCTCTGGAGCGCCGCCGCCTCTCTCGCTGCCCCAGCCCACACAGCCTCGGCCCGGAGCGCGCGCAGACGCCAACGCCGACTGGCCGCGCGCTCGCGGGCCCGGTCACGAGCCCCGCTCTCCGCGCGCTCGCGAGGGCGTCCCCTCTGGCCCCGCGCACGCGCGTTGGGTCCCGCGGGCTGGCAGCCCCGGCGGCTGGCTGGCGCCTGCGGCGGGGGATGGGATGGATGCTCCGGCTCTTCCAGCTGCAGCCAGTGTTTGGCGTTCGACCTCCGCGCTCTGAATCCGCGTCGCTTCGCGGCTTGGGTGGTGAGGTCTTGGTGAGCACGACCCCGTAGATTGTGCTAGCCAGTATTGCCTCATTCTGGATGTCTGGGCTCACAGAGATCCATCCACATACCTCTGCCTCCTGAGTGACTGGACTAAAGGCCTGCACCACCACACCAGGCAATCAATATTAATACAGACATGGGTTGTAAAAATTATCTAAAAGCTGAGTGTGGCCCCGGCATGATGGTGTACACCTTAGTCAGGAGGCCGAGGCAGGTGGATCTTTGTGGGATCCAGGCCAGCCTGGTGTACATAAGGAGTCCCAGGCCAGCTGAGGCTACAGGGAGACCTTGTCTTAAAACAACAACAAAAGCTGGGTGTGATGGACCCTTGGGGAGGCAGAGGCAGGAGGTTCACAAATTCAAGACCTGCCTGGGCTGTCTCAAAAAGTAAAACAAATTATTCCAATGCAATTCTGGAGTGATGACCACTCCTTTGAGGGTAACTTCCTGGCCACTTCCACAGCCTTAAAACTGGCGCCGCCCTTGGTGACTCCACCTGAGCTAAAGCCTGGGATTCCAGATCTGCTGGCGCTGGGTGGGCGTTGCCTGAATCTGTGGTGACCTACCTTCTCCTCCTCCACTATCCTTTCAGGACATAGGCGTGGTTATTCATCAAGGTGTCTGAGTACTTGACAACACTGCAGAAATGGAAAGCCTACCTGGTGAGTGAAAGTATCTGGAAAAAGGTGATGCTGTCAATGTAATGCCCACCTTCCCCTCCACAACCGTTTTTTTACTCCAACCCTAAAATATAGTAAGACCCTTTTTCCAGTAAAAAGTAGCGTTTGTAAGGTTTTTTGTTTTTTTTTTTTGTTTTTTTTTTTGGTCTTTTTGAGACAGGGGCTCCCTGCAGCCCCAGCTGTCCTGGAACTCACTATGTATAGACCAGGCTGGCCTTGAACTCACAGAGATCCACCTGCCTCTGCCTCCCAAGTGCTGGGATCAAAGGTGTGTGCCACCACGCCCAGCATGTTTGATAGTTTTAAGATCCTTCTATTTTTTTAAGTCTTTTATGAGTAAGTGATATAAAATGAGTTGCATATTTTCAAGTATACACTTTAATGTTTTGACATGTATACACCCATGAAAATAATCCTATGGTCTATTTTTAATTACTACCCATTATGGAGAAAATTAAGAAAGACACAAAGAATAAAATTTAAAGTATTATAATTCTACTAGCCAAAGAACCACTGGTAAGGTTTTACTGTATTTTTCAAACAAGTGTTTTTTTTTTGGGGGGGGGGGTCTTCCCAGGATTCACAGCTGGTTTGAAAGTCACTATAGAGACCAGACTGGCCTCAATCTCATAGAGATCCACCTGCCTCTGCCTCCCAAGTGCTGGAATTAAAGACATATGCCACTACTTTTGGCTTTAAAACAGAATTTTTGCCCTATTTACCCTAAAGATAATTTCATTAAAGAGTTTAGTAAGGGGAATATTATCTTCACTATTTACCTTGTAACCCTTTCTGTTAATAAGTGTATCATGTAAAGTAGACATTTAGGGGGTTGGAGTACTGGCTGCTCTTGAAAGGACCTAAGTTTAGTTCCTAACGTCCACATGGCAGCTAATAACCATCCATAGCTCCAGTTCTAAAGGATCAGACACCCTCTTCTGGCCTCTGTGGGCATTGCACACACATGGTACACTTACATCCATACAGGGAAAACACTCCACGTAAAATAAAAATAAATTTTTAATATCTATTTAGCTTACAGTGAGTGCTTACTACATAGCAAGCACTATGCTAAGTGGATCATACACATTGATTATGCTAGCACTAATCAATCTCTTTAACTCTTTTCAGTAGCTGGCTGGAGTCCCAGTGTCTACTTATATCATAATTTATTGAGGCATTTTGATATGGCTAGGCATTCAGGTGGTTTCCCGTGTTTTGTCATCATGCCACACTGAGCATGCAGGTACAAGCATCTTTGTTTATTTGTCTGAGTATATTTCCTTTAAGATATAATCCAAGAAGTAGAATTGATGAGTCAAGGACTGTACTAAGATTTTTTTGCCTATATACCTCCAAATTGGCCTCTAAAAGTATTGGTTATACCAATTTGTACTTCTATTAACAAAGTATAAGGGTACCAATTTTAACACACCCTCAACAGCAGGTCAAGGAACCATCCTTCCTTCCTTTTAATCTTTGCCAAGCTGATAGCCCCAAAATAACCAGTCATTTAACTTTACAATCCTCAAACTGTCACTAATGTAATATTTTTCACTTTGGTCCCTTTTATTTCCTGTTTTATGAATTGTCTTATAATAGCAATAAAAAATACCAAATGATTGTGTTAGTAGCCCATTAATGTGATGATCAAGTCTGACATACTTTGGTGGAATGTTCATGGAGCTAAGCCTTGAAGTTATGAGCTGAGTGAGATGTCATTTAAACATATTCATATTTTCCTAGGAATAGCTATGATATCTACACATTTGTGTTATTTGTGATCAGAGTTTGGCTTTCTTCAAGTTTTAGAACTTTAAATGTAAATTTAACCCATGACCATGTATTTATTTAATACACAGTTTTTGACTCCATTCACCCAAAAGCCAATCTCACTAAAGAGCTAGGGGAACACTAGCATCACAGTTTACCTGGTAACTCCTTCTCTCATAATAAGCGTATCATTTATAATGGACATTTAGCCCAGCACTCAGGAGGCGGAGGCAGGTAGATCTTTGTGAGATCTAGGCCAGCCTGGTGTACATAGTGAGTTCCAGGCCAGTTGGGGCTACAGGGAGACCCTATCTCAAAAAAACAAAAAATAATAATAATAAAAATTGTAATAGACACTTACATATATTACATAGCAAGCACTGTGCTAAGTAATTTCTCCACATCTCATTTTAACCTCAAACCAATGCTGAGAGGTAGGTACTATGGTAATCCCTGTGTAAAGGAGAGAGAACTGAAACTGAGCTCAGTTCCTTGCATATGGCCATAATGGCACATTTGCACTTGAATCCAGATCCTGGCAAACCTAACTTTCTAACATTTAACTATACAGAGGTTGTCTCCTGGGCCTCACTAAGTTTTTATAAAGACTCTCTCTGGCGAAGGAGAGATGGCTCAGCAGTTGGGAGCACTGGCTGCTCTTACAGAGGACCTCGATTCGAATCCCAGCACCCACATGGTGGCTAACAACTGTCTGTAACTCCAATTCCAGAGGATCTGACACCCTCTTCTGACCTTTGCGGGCAATGCACGACACAGGTGCACTTACACACATGCAGGCAATACACTCATACACATAAAATAATAATAAATAAAATATTTAAAGACAATCTGATTACTTCAGAACTTTAATTCCTCTCCCTTCTTAATTTAAAAACATATTCAACTCACTACCTTCATTTGCACTCAAGCATGTATGTGTATAAGCATGTATGGTTACTTATGTGTATATGTGCTTATATGTGAATAAGAACATGTGAATATGAGTATATAGAAGTGTATGTGTGTATTTGTGTGTATTGTATGAGCATGTGTAGATGTTGTGTGGGGGTACTTTCATGGGAATGTGTGCATGTCTGTGTACACGTATAAGACAGTGTGTTTCTGTCTAAAGATTGAAAGCTCTTTGAGGGGAGGACCTGGGCTTTGCTCATCTTTGTACCCTTCAGTGTAACCCAGTGTCTGCCTATTCCATAAATTTCTATTGAATGAATGCATTAGTGAAATCACATAGGTAGCAAAAGAAAGTACATGTTAGTTCCTTTCTCTCATATTTCTAATTTAGTAAGTGTACTAGTCAGTCCTTTAAATGCTGCTGTGTACATTTGGCAGTAGTAGCAAATTCCTCTGATGTACGCAGCGGTATAAATACACTTTTCTATCCTTGTGAGTTCTATTTTTAGAAAAGAGTTTTTCAGGTATTTTAAGAAAGATACCTGTAATTTTAACCATTATTCTCCAGAAATAGAATTATGTGTCATTCAGAATATCACAAAGGGGATTTTGGTCATTTTCCCTCTGTTTTAAAAAGTGGAAGATAAATAAACAGATCACCTGATTTAAGCTCTTTTATGTTTCAAGAAAGGATTCTAAAAATATCCTCCCTTCTAATTCATCTCTCTGCGTCATACCGAATTGTACACTCCCACTTCTCATTTCTGGTTACGTCTGCTAAAATGAATCATAAGCATTTGGCAGTGTAATGGGAAGGCTTTGCACATTAAAACCTTGGGAAAATAGAAGATGAAAACAGCATAGACATAATTATTTTAAAAGTAATATTCTGGG